TGCAATGGTCACATCGCAAACATTGGAACATGGTTTGTGCAACAATTTTCTCAAAAATAGACGCTGGATGGTATATTATGAGCAACATAAGCTTTCGTATTATTAGTGATGAATTAAGTCATTTCAACAGCAATGACGTATTGAAATTTTCTTAGCCCAATCATCGCTTTACAACCTAAAGAAAGACTGTGCCCCCCCCCAAAAAAAGAAACAACTTGTGCTGTTTGATTAAATGTAACAAAAACTACAAAAGCTACTATACTTGAATGTTTTATTGCATTCATAAAGGACTAACTTAGATTTTGATATGTAACATTTGAATACCCCCCCCCCCATATATGAGTCCCCCCGTCTATATGCCCTACAAAAAACTCTTAAGAACGAATATGAGCCCATCCTCGTTCCCAGTGTCTCACCTCCGCTCACCCCCTGCTCCAGAGAGACGTTACAAATTTTACAACTGTATGTTATACAGATGGTACATCACTGCTATCAATATAAACTAAGAATCTGTTTGAAATGTAACACTGCTTGTAGTCTTGCTACTCCACTCTCTTGTTGTTCCTGATAGTTGTATTTATTCTCATAAATTAAGTTATGTTATTGTATATTTATACAGTATTTGTAAAATTGAGCCCACAGTAATTGGTTTTTATACTGTTGTGATGACACTGCCACTCTTTTATGTGATAAAGATATCATCAATTCATATCATATCTCAAAAATTAGGTGGGCACCCATTTATAGAAAATCATGAATAGAAACAAAAATCCTAAATCATGCCTACTAAAAACTTCAAATTCCTATCAACATAGCATGAGGTTTTGTTTTGTTTTTTCGTTGGGTTTTTTTTTATTAAGAATTTTAGATGATTCTTCAGTCTTACTTGTTTTAATGTACACTTTTGTAAGTTTTGAAACAAACAGACAACTTACAAAAGTGTACATAGCATGAGGTTGTTTCAGATAAATATATATTACAGAAAATCTATTTTTCCTATATTACAAATTTAGTTTAAGTATGTTTTTGTCATTGAGCAAGGATTGGGAAATAATGCAAGAAATATTTAATGCTTGCATATTTTCTTTGCCTTGAATGGGTCGTTCCAGAATAGATCCATACTCCCCCCACAGAGGATTGTGCCGCAATTTTTATGCCGCAATTTTTGCATGTTTTAAATTAAACATGCATCATTTTTACAGATTTCAGTCCGCCATATTTTTAGATTGTTACACTGCGCAGTATTGTTTCCACTTAATTAGGCAGCCTTACTTTGTTCCTATTCATAGGGAACCCCCATTTTATCACTATTATAAATATCCACTAACCTTACATCATCATCCTTCTTTAGTAATTTAAGGTAAGCAATCGTACCAATTTATATAAGATATTTGCCCAAGATATCCCTCGTCATATTGCACATTTGCCCAAGATATCCACCAAGAAAATGGACACGGTGTAGGTTTGCCAGCGACACATCGTCATCCATCCATTACAATGCCAGATGTCTCCTTGCAACAACCAGGACGAGCAGAAAAGAATGCATTCACTAAAATGACAAATTTTATAACATATTTAGCTTCAAAATCCCTATGCTTTATGCACTCATGTCTCTACTAAATTATTTAAACTAAATTTCACAAAACATTAATTTAAGGTATAATTCAATATTTTATCCCAGAACAAACATCAAACGCAAAGCAACTTGCAACGGCAAGATATAGAGCTGCAACATGCCCTAAACTTGAATATAATTTACTCTCTGGGATGCCAATTTCTGTCTTAGCATAAAAATACAGACTTCTGATTGGTGTGGGTATTTACAAAAGAATCTCCCTGAATGGAGAATAGATTGAATGCAGCATACAAAATTATTATTCCAAATGTATAATTTCTATGCCATAAAGATTTATATTAATTGGCAAATATAAAATGACCAAAACATTTGGGTCAAATGCAAAGGGGGACCACAGGCAAGAATCAAGGTCTAGCCAGCTGAGCCACAGATTAAGTGAAGACAGATGTATAACTTCAGTAAAAAAGTTGTCCCACAATAAGTTCTTTGTATGTTTGCATGGCGATAAAACATATAATAGTTTTGTTTGTGGAAACACCACGTAAATTTATTACTACCAAGCTTTCGATCTGTAAGCCTGGATCTTCATCAGTGCTAATAATATGTGAGCCAACAGATCAAGACATTTTTTGTATATAAAAAGGGCGTGTGAATTAAATGAAGATCCGGGCTTACGGATCGAAAGCTTTGCAGTAATAAATTTATGTGGTGTTTCCACAAACAAAACTATTATATAGTTGTCCCACAGTCGCCATCTTCCTAGCAAGTGTCGCTCGCATGATCATTTGTCATTTGATAATACGTCATTGCTTTCAAAAAATGCTTTCAAGTTTCAACACCTTTTCTACAAATGATGCTATAGATAAACAAGCATGTTTATAAACAAGCTGCAGGGAAAACAACCAGGAAATTTTCCAGAAAATTGGGCTAAATTTTCCAGAAAAATATTGGCTATATTCCATTTAATATCCATAATCTCCCTTTTTAACTCCGGAATTCCTCATGGGTAAACAAATTCTCCTGTGGAATTCTTCAGGGGTTGGTTATTTCAAATGCAATTCCTTTAGGGGTCAGATGTAAAAATTGTAATTCTTCAGGGGTAACAGGAATTCTTCAGGGGATCTCTTTTATGTCAAGAATTCTTCAGAGATATGGTAAAACCATTGTCCTTGATAGGGGGGGGTTACGTCTTTTAAATGGAATAGCCCAATTCAAAACAAGCCCCAAAATCTTGTAAAACTTTCTGAAAATTGTTGAGAAACATTTCTCTCGTCAAAACTATATTAAACTTTTGACGGATAAAAAACCACCATTGAAGGAAAATTCATTCTTGACATTTCTTGTATGACAGTGCTTATAAATAATTATTAATATCGAACTAATGATTATTAGTTCGATATTAATAATTATTTATAAGCACTATCATACAAGAACTGAAGTATAGCATCCAATTATTACATTTTGTAAAGTAGTAATATAAAACAGTTTTTTTGCAACAGCTTTCAGCAATTCAGGCTGGTAGCGTATTTGGCAAAGGCGTTGTGAAAGTTTTCAAACTATTTCGCTCCAGCGTAGTGTGAAAGCGATGGCTGTGACTTTTCTACATTGTTGTCAAATAGCTCCGGCGTGGTGGTGGAACACTTGGCAGCTTCTTGTGAACACAAACACATGGCAGATTTTGGTGGATAATTTGCAGAATTCGAAATTCGATCAAGTAAAATTCGGACTGAAATTCAATGTAACTTGCGACTGATTGAGAAGCGTTGCTGTGTTTACTTACATGTTAATGGCACATTAAATTTTTTAGTATTACTGCATTCCTTAACCTCGCCCTTAATATGACAGCCATTTCTATTTTCTAGGCACACACCTCGCAAGGAAGCTTTATTGACTATATACTGAAACTAAATATTCTAAATATTGAGTTTAGTTCACATAGCAGTCTCTTAATTCAAGCAACAGTTTAATAACTATTATTTTTAACACTTGAATAATTCAAACTTATACATACTAAAACTGCAAAACTTTACTTTTATATAAATAAAGTGTGTAAATTTTCGACTCATTCTCAACATGCAGGATACACTGTTACAGCAAGTTAGTTTTTGGTGGCCATGCATGCAAAAGTGGGCAGCTATTTTGCTTACGAGTTACGTGGACGTATAATTATTGCTGTTACGTAAACGTTCCAGTTTTTAAGGGCTATAGCCGATAAAAATTGCGTGCTCATTATAATCGCCGATCACATAGCTTTATCACTGTCTAAAACCTTCGGACAATCTTATATCCGCATTTCCTCCCCCCCCCCCCTTCGGACATCCTAAGACATTTTTCCTCACTCCCCCTTCGGACAGCATGGGGGTATGGATCTTTTCTGGAACAACCCATTGACCGAAAGTGCCTAAATTTCCCATGAATTTGCCCTTGGTAACTTGTGCGTTTCAACGATCAAACTGCGAGGTAAAACTTCCTGTCTCTAAGCTGTGCTTCAATAGCTGTAATGTTTACAAAATAGCAAGTTTTGAAGCAAAAATTAATTTTGAAATTGGGAAAGCCAATAGGCAATTCCAGCTTTTAGTTTATGCGTGCAGGGGACGATGGGAAATAAGGTATCACATTGCTGATTATGCTGAAAAAATAAAAATGGTGGCTGTGTAAACACGTAGTGATAGCTTATACTTGTAAATATTGAAATATTTCGGTTGTTTTTATTGAAATTTTTCAGCATAATCAGCACTATGATACCTTACTTCCCATCATCCCCTGCAGGCATAAACTAAAAGCTGGAATTGCCTATTGAGTGCAATGTAAACAATTTCTAGCACAGCAAGCAGGATAAAATCTCATAAACGCAAGCAAAATTCATCCTGCTTACCGGGCTATCTCGTTTAGCGGGCCAGCCCTGCTAAGGCATGCTTCCATATAAACAGCCCCGTAGAAATGTTTCTTAAAATATTTGTAAATTTCCCCCCCCCCGACCTTTCTAACTCTCAAATAGTTCATTACACATTTATTGGTTAGGGAAGGGGTTGGGGTCTGTTTATCCATACCTTATCTTAAATATTCTGACTACAGTAGTCAGTACAAATAGCAAAACCAAACTAGGCCACAGAATAAAGAAGATAGAGCAGAAGCGTAACTCTAGTCGTTTCCCTTATTGTTTTACGTCCACGAAAATTTTAACTCGCTCACGCCAATCCACGCCATCCTGGCTAGTACAGCCGGAAGTTTTTATCAGGTTTTGGTCAGTGAATGATAACATTCAGTCATTTGATTGTGAAAACAATGAAGCCTCGATACCAGTCTTTCACACGGATTGGACGTCAGTCTCAGTCCCTCAAACGTCAGGTTTACGCGGATTGGACATCAGTTTCATTCCCCCTCTTGCAAACCGTTGCACGGCCAGTATAAATTTGAACGCAATCACGAAAAAAATTAAAAACATGGCCAATTCAATGCAATACATTTTAGGAGCAAACTGTTTTGCTCCTAAAATTTACTGCATTGAGTTCGCTGTCGGAAAAAAGTCGAGGAAAACTTCCCCGTGTGGAGAAAAGAATAGGCTTTTTCAAATATGTTGTGTCGTTCTGGATGCACAAGGAAAGAGATATTCTTGCGAGGAAAATTTCATTTCACAGGTAGCTAAATTGACTTGCAACTGTGACTTTGCCATTTTTCGCGATTGTTTGAATTGTTTTTTAGTTTACCAGTTTTATAGTTATTTTTTAAAGAATTTATTGTGTGATCGGAGTTTGCCTGCCAGCAAAATGTAAATGAATATGTACGTGTGTTTGAATATAAATTAGACCATATGGGCTTAGTAAAAAATTATTTTAATAACTACGTTTCGGAGTATAACTCCATCTTCAGGTTAAAAGTGAATAAAGATATAAAAACTGTGATAAAAACTTTCAAAACAATTACAAATTTTATATGTAAGTGATTGTTCTTGAACAGTTGATGACAAAGACAATGACGAATACTTATGTCGTGATTTTTTTTGTCGGCTTCACTTTTCGCTCGCTGTTATCATTCCAGATATATATATATAGAGAGAGTTCACTGGTTTTGGTAGGTACAAAGTGCCGGTTATACTAGCCAGGATGGAGTGATTGATGACGAATCGCTTGTAAAAACGCGGACAAATACTTGCTTGAGTTACGCTTCTGGTATACCCAGTGAACTAAAAATACCTGGAACGTTACCTCCAATAGAATTGGCTTATGATCGGATGAAGCCAAATTTTACCTCCAGCCGCGCGTGTTCTACCTCCAGACACGCGCGTTTGTGTTGCGAGACCATTACGGCAAAGTGACTTTTTCTCGGACGAATGGATCGAAAATTGTCGTTTATTTAGGGTTTTAAGCTATATTTTTGTATTAAAAGTGTATTTAAAACATATCTTGAACCCTACCGACTAAAATTGCAAGGAAGAAAGTAACTGATTGGAGACAACAAGTGCATATTTGAATGACTGGAACGTTTATATGCAGATGAAACTTGAGAAAGATAAGTAATTCTTTATCTTAACGTATTAAACATATATTTATAACAACTTCATTGATTGTTAAACAAGATAAGTTTATTTAATCTGTATCTATCACTTTGTTTGCCTTCGTTGACGACTTGTTCTGGGTATTTCTTGCCGAATGTGAATAATTGTGACATGAAATACTTGTCCACGAAAAAAACTTTCTTAATGTCTTTAATGTTTACACTTGTTATTTTGTACCTTTAAAACTTAATAAATACTCTACTACAAAACATAATTAAACTGTGGTTGGTAGTTTGATCTTGTTAGAATACCTTTTTTCCTAACTTTCAGACGAATAAATTGGAAAACGAATGAGCAAAATAGGGAAATTCACACAAATACTTATGATTAGACCACAGCAAGCTTACCCTGGATTCCAGAGCCTTCGACAGTAAATAATAAATTGAAATGTCGCGAAGGCTCTGGTTCAACGGGGCGATTCTTTGATTGAACCGCGCCAATCACAAAACAGAATTAGTGGTTTTAGTACAATCGCCCCGTTGAACCAGAGCCTTCGCGACATTTCAATTTATTATTTACTGTCGAAGGCTCTGGAATCCAGGGTACGGCAAGCTCCACTCCTCGCTCAACGTTTTTTTTCAAAAAAGGAAATTTAATTATGAATTCTACACAAATAAATTAAAAATATTTTACTCTAGAGTTTTGAAGGATGTTTTTATTGTAAAAAATGTACTGGTAGGTGCATTTTACGTCGTTTTAAATCATGTTTTAGTGCATTTTTTTACCCAGTTTTGGAAATTTAAAAAACCCGCGTTCATTTCCGTTACGTGAAAAGACTGGGCATGACAACAGTGGGCATGCCTGGGCCACAGAATAGGAAGTTATACCAGAAGCGTAACTCTAGTCGTTTCCCTTATTGTTTGACGTCCACAAAAATTTTAACTCGCTCACGTCAGGCCACGCCATCCTGGCTAGTACAGCCGGAAGTTTTTATCAGGATTTGGCAGGTACAAAGTGCCGGTTGTACTAGCCAGGATGGCGTGATTGATGACGAATCGCTTGTAAAAACGCGGACAAATATTTGCTCGAGTTACGCTTCTGGTATAACTTCCTATTCTGTGCCTGGCTTCACATTTCCGGCTGGAGGTATCGTTCCAGTTATTTTTAGTTCAATGGGTATACCTTCCTATTCTGTGACTAGGCGTACGTACTGTTCCAGTACTTCGTATTAATGTACAACTAAATGAACTAATTATTAAAAAGTAAACAGACCTTTAAACTGAAGAACTTGATTGGCTTGTATACATTGGTTTCTTTGTCATATAGTTCAATTGCTGTTGCTTGTAAATGTTTTATAAACCAGTACAGCGAAGTAGCGAAATTTCGGGCCGTCTTTCACAACAAATAACATCACAATAACCGCACATCTTTTTCTCTTTAATACAGAATATTTTCCCCGTCCATTGAGTTATAATTTCCAAAACGAACCAGTCGCTATAACGTAAAATAAGCGGGTATTTGTGAACAAAAATGCCGTTTGATATAACACGAGGTAACCAGCGCCATCTTGTCTTCTCCAAACATTACAGATTTTCCCGCCAAAACCCGCCTCCAAAGTCCCGTATGTACCTGACGTCACAAGTGTCATCGACGGGGGGGGGGGACTACCATATTTTGTGGTAAAAATTTTTTCAAAAATACGCACTAAATCCAATTTTAATCTCTTTACCTTCGCTACTTTTGCTTTCCACATGCCAACAAAACTAGCTTCTTAGCACATACATAGCATACGCTTTATAAAATACTTAAAAAAATGGACCTAAACAATATTGGAGTGACAACAATTTTGGAAAGTTTCTCCGGAAATTTTTCTCACTTGATGAAAAAACTTTTTCATCTCTTTTTTTCTTTTCTTTTTTTCACATTATTGTACGTTGGAACAGCACTATAGTATCAATAGTATCAATATATATATAGCCTTAGTCTTAGAATGTTATATATTTTATGGCAATATTTTATAAAAATTTCATCGGCAAGTTGCTGAATATTTCAAAAGTATCAACAATTAATAATGTTTCCAAGACCTCTCTGAAAATCGGAAGCAAGTCATTAAAATGATATAATTATATGTTCTATTTCATTTCAAAAAGCAAACAAATGTTCCTCTTTTGTTACGATAGCACTACCCTGGATTCCAAAGCCTTTGACAGTAAATAATGAATTGAAACATTGCGAAAGCTCTGGTGATTGGGCAAATGAAAAACAAAACAACTCAAGGGTTGGGTAATGAAAATTTATTGTCATTTGCAAAACATGACCCACTGAAACATTGTTGACTGAAAAGCAATGTCAACAGTCATTTGTCAATACAATATGTGAATCAATCAGAGTCACTATCTTGATCATTTTGACAAAACAAATGGTGTTTCCAAAGAAAGTACATGTGCAGACAACATGCACAAAAAGACTGCAGAACATTTCACAAGCTGTTATCAAACTCATCACACAGAACTGGTAAAGGACATGTGTGACAACTGAATGGTATCTTTTTGTAACGTTTTTGGCCAGGGGTGGGTAATTTTTTTAATTGATACTTGAGGTTGAGTCAAATCAAATTTTTGTCTTTTTAATAGTTGGGTCAGCAAATTTTTTGCCACGAAAAACATTTTTCTCCACGCAGGCTACACCATAAATAATGACAGGTCCCTAATTAATGATGTTCGGCAATTTCATCACCGGCGGGCAATTTTTTATCCGCATCCTATTTTTTCCGCCCGTACGCCTACACGTCGGCCCGCTCGCAGCCTGAGGTCAATACTTTACGGAAAGCCACCAGTAGAGCCTCGTTTTCGTGACCGAGACCTTGGCTCCGCAAACCCCGCTTAATCCCATTAGTGAAATAAGTAATCAGTTCCGGTGTATAATTGATTTACATTCCTGGTTTAAACAACGTACCGCGTTCTATAAACATTAAATCAAAAACATACAACCTACTGTCATGCAACATGGTTTAGACTGGACTGAATATCTGGACTCAGAGATCTGGATTCTGAACTGGCAGGCACTGAAGAGAATTGTTTTTCTTCGGAAATATATTGCTGACCAATCATTATAAATAAAATATGTTTTTACCCAACTTCAGATATCAACTAAAAAATAAATACCAAAGACACCATCAGTCAGTTGTCACACATGTCCTTTACCACTTCTGTGACATGAGTTTGATAACTGCTTGTGCAATTTTCTGCAGTCTAAAATTTCACGTTGTCTGCATTACATGTACTTTTTTGGAGACACCATTTGTCTTATACAAATCGGAAAATGATCAAGATAGTGACTCTGATTGATTAATATATTGTATTGACATATGACTGTTGACTTTTTAGCGGTCTTCAACATTTGAGTGAGTTATGCTTTGAAAAGAACAACAATTTTTTCAGTACCCAACCTTTTATTCACTCAAAATTTTTTTGTTTACCTTACAGAGACCATTTTCTCTTCGCCCCCCCGCCATAAATAATGACCGGTCCCTAACTCGATTTCCCCTGGATTTGACCCTGGAATTTTTCTTTGTCTTGCGATTTCTCCGCGCCGGTGAACTATTCGAAGACAAAAAAATATTCCGCTCCGCGCCCAAAAATACCGGCTAGTCGAAAACAGGGTAAAATATTAATTAAGGCCCTTTCGTACACAACACTCAATTTTGGTACCCGTACCATTTTATCTGTGCTCGGACTACCTATTACAAAGGCCGAGCAAGGATAAATTTGGTACGGGTACCATGCAGTTTTATCCGTGTCGTACCAAAATTCGAGACTGTAGTGTAATCGATCGGGCCTGCAACTTCGAATGGCACACTTTGCAACAGTAGTGCCATCCAATGATGATACAGGCCGGTATGTTCCGTTGTCTTTTCATTGTTTCAAAAATCCCACTGTTCTCCATACCATCCTGTTTCATAGACAGATTCAAAACATTGTTGCCATTCTTTTCTCTTCCGAAACTAATTTCAACCCAGGTACAAAAGTCGGGATAAAATTATTCTAATAAGAACATGTGCTCAAAGATCGAGTAAGTCGATCCGACTCGTAATAAATGAATTTGTTCTCCTTTATCGATGACATAATCTTCACCAATAACACCCATCCTCCCTAAGTAAACAACTGTCACCTATCCCCCCTCAAAGATGACGTCATTGTTGAATGTAATGACCATTTGCAAAGAATATAAAGCCAAAGCATTAGTGTCGTCGGCATAGATAATAAATGTTCTTTACAGTAAAAAAAAAATGAGGGCACTTAGCCAATAGCGACTCTGCCAGAAAGCACATAATCACATTTTTCGAGTCATTACAGCCTTGTGTAAACACCAAATAAAACTTGATTGTTTTCTCAAAAGTTGTGCCTCTTTTTAACAAAAAGCCCGAAGTTTTATTCGACCACAGAGTCCCTATTTCCAGTCACTGAGTCCACACGTACAGTACACATTACGTACAATAGCAGTGCTGATGCGGTTGCAAGTGTTGATAGCAAGCCGCTTCTCAACCGCATATCAGTTTAACAGCCTGAGCCACGTCCGCGAACGTTTTTGCGCATTTCATTCGCGTGATGGGTTTCCTTGCGCAAATCTTGCTAATTTTACCAAATTATGCTAATTTAAAACCAAATCGCGTTCCCTTTGCGCGCAGCGTGCGACATTTGCTTTTCGATAAGCGATCTTGTTTACGCGAACCCATTTCCTCTTGCGCGAGGCCACCCGAGTGATCGCCCGTCGTCATAAGCGCACTTGGCCTCTAGATTAACAGACGCTGGTTTTAAGTGAAGTTTGCAAAGCAAATCAATTTACAGTTTTTGCCTCGGGAGTTGGAGCGAAAAATCCGCGCGGACTTCTTAACAGTTAACACATAGACATCGCAAGGTTAGTATGATTAATTTGAATAGAGTGCGTTCTTCCGATCGAGAAGAGCGCTGATAATGTAAATCTATTTAGTCGCGTGCGGCCCGGACCGCTGTTGAAATTTCATCTGGGTTGCATATTAAATGCGCTTTGACAAACTGCTTGCTTTTGAGCAAAATCAGATGGATTCTGATGCGCGTTTTATGCGGTTAAGTGAATATTGCGTTTTGGCGTAATCTATTACAGTCCTTTCTTCTTGAAAACGTTCTGCGATGCGAGTAAAATTTGCGCAATGTGTTACAGCATAACTGAATCGTGCGTTTCATGGCGTTGAAATTCGAGCTTTTGCCTTGCAAATGCCTTCGAATGTTCATGATGTGATCTCGTCTGTAGAGAAGTTTCAGACTGTTTCGGTACGTGTTCGAACATTAACCGTTTTTCGGTACAAATTCGAATATTTTAAACATGAGGGTCAAGTTTAGACAGTGTTATATAATAAGATGGCGTGTTTGATAAAATTACCTGAAAAAAACCCCCAAGGTCAAGAGAACCGTCATATGTTCGAGGAATAGCCCTTAACATTTATCAGGATATTTACCAGGCTAGCTTTGCTTGAAACATCGAAGCCGTTCCGATGCCTTTTCACGTGCTGACGTGCCAGAGAGTTTAAGCTTCGCGTTCATACGTCAAACACCCGGCAAAGAAAGGTTTTACGCAATATAGCAAAAACGCGGAGTAGACGATTTAATAGACGAACTTGTTGTTTTCAAGTTATAATGTATAGAATGATTCTTTTGACGTCATAAGAAAGAAAATATGAAGCGAAAATTCTGCGCAAAAATTCGACACATCCATTTGCCGTTCATGCGCTCAAACAGTCAAACGTAAATTGCCCACACTGAACCACCGCGTTTGGACTGGTCAAAATGTCTAATAAATTAATGTCTTTCAGGGAGTTTATAGACACCAACTATACGGCACAATATTAAATAACTATATTGATCCCCCACGTTTGAGATATCTTGTCGTTCAACACTCAAACTTTGACATGAACATATGGTAAATTTTTTTAAACGTGTAAAAAAAACTTAGGGCAATAAAACATTTAGTCAGTGAATGTCAGATTATCGTTTGCGGTTTGCATCGCGCGCGTATGAAGGTATTGCCACGATTTCTTTTGCCAGTATAAATTCCGTTGAATGGAATATTATTTCAATAGTATCTTTAAAGATAGATATTATATTTATATAATATGTTTAACATTTACAGTGATAAAATATTTAGTCAGCAAATTTCTCTGTCACATTGCGGTTCGCCAACGACAGACACCAGGCGTTCTCAGATATTGTCACGATTTTTTCGCAAGCCGACTTCCTGGTTGTATTTAGTGAGCCGACGAGTTGTCTACTGAACTACAGTGAAAAATATTGAGAAAACTCCGACGCTTCGAGGGAAAGTGCCATATTTAGGGTGGTCCCTCATTATTTATGGTGGGGGGTGGCATCGAAGAAAAATATTCTTCTTGCTAAATGTTTTGCCGATCCAACCATTAAAAAGTCAACAAAAATTTTTTACCCAACCTCAAATATCAATTAAAAAAATGCGTTCCCACCCCTGGCCAAAAACATTACAAAAAGATACCAGTTGTCACACATGTCCTTTACGACGTCTGTGACATGAGTTTGATAACTGTTTGTTCAATTTTCTGCAGTGTAAAGTTTCATGACGTTGTCTGTACATGTACTTTCTTTGGAGACACCATTTATCTTATACAAATCGCCGGGAAATTATCAAAATAGTGACTCTGATTGATTTATTTACATCAGTATTGTATTGACATATGACAGTTGACATTGCTTTTTAGTCTTCAATATTTGAGTGAGTCATGCTTTGGAAATGACAATAAATCTTTATTAATCATGTTTCGCTCGCTACTCTGGTTTAAATAAATGATTACAAAGCCCAGTCGAATTGTAATCAAGACCCAACGTTTCGACACTCCAGTCTAGTGTCTTCATCAGGGGTGATCTGAAACTGCGATCGTGGCTTCTTAAATACCCAAGGGATGACGTCACCTGCCAAGAAGATGCATATATTCTGATTTGATCGACTGCTCTGAAGTCCTATGGATCGAAGAGTTTTGTCGTTCGCAATTTCGCAAAGAGTCGATCAAACAGAGAGAGAAGCATGACAAAAAATTGCTGCGTCTGATTGGAACGAAACCATCTGATAAATCAGGTTCGAATCTTAAGAAGAGATGGGTTAAAAACCTCTCATCTAAAGAGCTAAGTGAGTTGGAAAGGAAGGGTCTTGAACACGGCCTAAAATTTGCGGTTGTACCTAACAGAATTCCAACAGCCGAAATCACTGCTTCAGTGGAAGAAGGAATTTTTCCACTAGACGATGATGCTAAGCGATTGGTAAGAGCTGAGGTCAGTAGCATTCTTAGACGTGCCAAAATACCTCCAAAAAACATTGATTCGAATGTTTTCAAAGCTTTACTTGCTCTTAAAAAAGATCCGGACACGGTTATACTTTCAGCGGACAAAGGCAATTGCGTTGTTGTTATGGACAAACATGATTATCGCGAGAAGGCTCTTTCACTGTTGAATGACAGAAATACGTATTCTATTCTCAAGTCTGATCCTACTGGAAAGACTCAAAGAGGTTTAAACGCCAAGTTACTTCTTTTGAAAAAATCCAATATTATCAGCAAGGCTACATATGAAAAGTTATACAGCAGTGATGGACTATCTCCGCGTTTCTATGGTTTACCGAAAATCCATAAACCGGAAATTCCATTGAGACCTATTGTGTCCTTTGTGAATTCTCCTACATATGGAGTTTCAAGTTTTTTGGCGAAAATTTTGTCCCCTGTGGAGGGAAATACCAAAAACACTGTAAAAAATTCCTGTCATTTTGCAGAATTTGTAAGAGGTAAAACTCTTAAAGCAGATCAAGTGTTGGTATCATTTGATGTCGTTTCCTTGTTTACAAATATCACAGTTGATCTTGCCATCAAGGTTGCGGCAAAAAGACTAAGACAGGATGCCACTTTGTTACAAAGAACATCCTTGCCTGTAGAAGATATTATTGATCTTCTGTCTTTTTGTCTCAACGCCACATATTTTGTGTTTGAGGGCTGTTATTATCAACAGGTTTTTGGAACAGCGATGGGGTCACCAGTTTCGGCAGTAATTGCTAATTTAGTAATGGAAGATGTCGAACAAAGAGCTTTAGCCTCTGTTCCGGTGTCCCTATCGCTTTGGAAACGTTTCGTTGATGATGTCATCTCTGCGGTTTCTACAAATGAGATCGATATTCTGCTGCAACATTTAAATTCTATTGAGCCGTCCATCCAATTCACGGTAGAACGTGAAATAAATGGACATTTAGCTTTTTTAGATTTGAATGTACACAGAACTGTCGAAGGGAAGTTAGAGACTGATGTTTATCGCAAACCCACACACACACAGACAAATACTTGTCATACGACTCTCATCACCCAGTAAGCCATAAAAGATCCGTAGCAAAAACTTTGCTTCAAAGAGCTGAATCGTTGCCGTCAAACAGTGATTCTCAAGCTAATGAACGTGAATATGTTCTAAATGTCTTAGGGGAAAACAATTACCCAAAGCGTTTTCTTAATGATTGCCTGAGACCACCTGTTTGTAGGAACCAAAATAACTCCGAGGGTGATACCTCTGTTAAGGGTTTTGCAATAGTTCCATACATTCAAGGTGTCACAGAACCAATCAAGAGAATCTTAAGTAATTGTAATATTAAGGTTGCCTTAAAACCCTATTTGACCTTAGGCCATATTTTCGCAAAGCCAAAAGATCCTGTTGAAAAAAATCAGAAGACTCATGCTATATATTCTATACCATGCAGTGACTGCGATAAAGAGTATTTGGGTCAGTCTAAACGCCAGTTTGGTACACGGCTAAAAGAACATCAAAAGGCTGTTTCAACTTTAGACAAGGGAAAATCAGCTTTAGCCGAACATGTATGTTACACCAAACACGAGATTGCGTGGGAAAACTCTAAAGTAATTACCACAAACAATCGTTACGGTCAAAGACTTTGCCTAGAAGCGTGGCATATAAATATGAGTCATCATGCTTTGAATAGGGATGACGGCGCCTATTTGCCACAAGAATATATGCATCTTCTTGGCAGGTGACGTCATCCCTTGGGTATTTAAGAAGCCACGATCGCAGTTTCAGATCACCCCTGATGAAGACACTAGACTGGAGTGTCGAAACGTTGGGTCTTGATTACAATTCGACTGGGCTTTGTAATCATTTATTTAAACCA